CCCCAAAACCCCAAAACCCCAAAACCCCAAAACCCCAGGGAGTGACATTAAAATAAAGTTTGCCAAATTTCTCAAATTAATTTATGATCAATTCATATTAGTTTTCTTTTTAAATCTTTGCTAAGGGCTTCATCATCCATATATTTTTATTTTTCCTATTAAACTTCATAACTATCATCTGAGTGTAATATTCCCTAGTTTTTCTTGAATTGCTTGATGCTGCAATTGCATCCCCAAATTGCGAAAAAGTAAAGAGTATTAACTGAAGCATATGCAACTATTAAACTCACCCATAATGAATATACGCTAGCATCAAAATATATCACAGTAATTGTTGCAAATGGTATCAGCACACACTCATATGCCATAAAATTAGTAAAAGAGGCAAGCTTGTATAACCCAATGGCTCGAATCATACTTAGTTGTAGTTATTAAAACCAATCGAAGAATAATGAAATAGAGGCTAAATCAAATGAATCTAGCATTTTTTGTAGAATTAAGGGATCACTTCCGAAAAACAAGGATATTTATCTTTTAGACAGCTGTAAAATGATACAAAAGCAAAGTGCTAGTGGTACTCCTTATTAATAAACAAATTTTCCATAACTCTTAGCTCTCTCATATTGTTTAGCTCCTATTGAACTAGCAATTATCTAAGAAAATGCATTCGATATACCAGTCGCAACTGTAATTATTAAGTAACTAAAGTTGAAAAGATTATTGAAAGCAATTTAATCAATAATGCTAATCCTAGCAGCTAATAGAATCAAATACTAAAAAGACCACCATTTAAGGCCTATCATTGTCATATTGAAGAACCCAACTCTAATTAAATTTCTAAATCTCATTTATGTAAAATCTAATCTAACATTGGCTCTGCTGAGAATCGGATTCCATCTTGAGACGACATTAGCAAGAGCAAAATTTATAAAATAAGCAATATTAGTAGCGATGGCTGCTCCAATAACACCCATATTTTATTCTCTTATAAATTGATAACTTAGAATATAGTGAGCTACCGCTGAGATAAAACATATCATTGCTTGCAGCTTTACCATCTTGAATTGCTAAAGCAATCTTCTCTATGCATCATATTAATACATAAAGAATATCCCTGGAGTGAGATATATAAGGTAAAGCCACGCTTAATAAGAGGATTTGGAATCTTGACCAAAAGTCACAAGTATAGTTTCGCTAAAATAGACTATTCCGAACATTGGTAGGAATACCGCAACCATTAGTGTTTTACCAGCATTTAAATAATGTCCAGCAAGATCAAAGTCCTAAGCTCCAAATGCTTGGCCAAGAAAAGTATCAAGAGATCCGCAGAATCCCCACATCACAGTAAAAGGTAAAATCGTAAGGATTATATTTCCAAGGGCTATTCCGTTTATCTCCTCTGCTTTCCCCTCTTAACCAACCTGATGCAAATTTACTAATTCAGGAACAAAGCTAAAAAATAGAGCAAATATTGCAGGCAATGCAATCTAGACTAAGTTTTTTGTTTTCTACATACAAGTATCATCAATAAAGACTTTAGAATTATCATGTTTTTCTGTCATTACTAATATTTTGCTTTATAAAAAGGCTATTGTATAACTATATGATTATAATCTTAATATGTACAAGTTTAGTTTTCTTATAAATTTCAAATTAGGGGTTTTGGGGTTTTGGGG